GGGCGTGTCCTCCGCCCCGCCCCGCCCCCGTCGCCCTTTCCCACCCGCCCCAGGTGAGCGCTCACCTGGCGCGGTGCCCGCCCGGGACGCAGAGGCGGAACGCGAAGCCCCCGGGCGGGCCTGGAGGGGGTGGGGTGCCAGGCTGAGGCCGAGGAGACCGCGGGGTGGAGTAACGGCAGTCCCGCTCCCGAGGGTGGGGGACCGGGGACCGCGCCTGGAGTCTGGGGGAAACGCTCGTCCTTGTCCAGCCTCCGGCCCCGCCGGCGCGCGTCTCCCAGCCGCAGCCCGGGACTCCGAGGGAGGGAAGCGGCGCCCTAACGCAGAGCCTGTCTTTGGGAGCCGGAGAAATTCATCTTCGATTACTGGCGGAAAGGACTCTTGCTGGACAAAGGGAGTCCTGGGGGGACTCCGATTGTAAACGGGGGGGCCGGCTGTCACGGAGGGGTGCGCAGCACCGGCCTCAGTAGATGTTTCCCAGAACGCTGCTCGTATTTGCCAGGACGGAGACTCAGACTCTCCGGGCAGCGGCGCAGGCAGAGCCACAGGGGAGGAGGGACCTGCTCCTAAAGGCATGCGAGCGCCAGAACCTCCGTCAGAGAGAAGGGCAACTTCAGGTGTTGGGCCCCAAAGCTCCGGCTTGCTTATTCTTTTTAAAAGTTTAACTGCTGCAGTGAGGGCGCCGCCATCCAGGCAGGGAGAACCGCCAGCCTAGGAATGAGGCACACGTACAACCAACCAGCCAAGTGGGTTTTAAAGTAGTGTTGGGAATCTTGAACACTGGATCAAATCAAAACAAAACAAAATACAGCTGCACGTAGCCCCGCCTCCCCTGCCAAATCAGCCATGCGTGTAGAACAGAACATCAGGTGACAGTGACCTTGGCTTTGTGATAGACATTGGCATGACGCGAGGCGGGGGGAGCTGCAGACCTGGTTACTACATTGTTAGGTCTCATTAACAGAGGAGGTCCCTATCCTAGTGCGCCTCTGTGAATCGAGAAGAATGACTAATGGCCCGGTCAAGTCTTGTGGGTCTATTTGTAGCCCGCACTGTATGCAGAGACCTGGAGTCCCACTGTACACTATGAACTCCAGCTGTGAAATGGAGGTGCTGACAAACGGCTTACGGCACTTTTGTGCAAGTATGTCAGATGCCTAAGAGGCCCCGGCACCCATATCAGTTGTTACACCAGTCGCAGCGCCTGCGGTCAGGACCAGCGGTGTGCTGGTGCTTACACTCGGCTTGGGGGTTGGGGATGATGTCAGATTTGTGTCAGGTGTTGAGGACCCTTCAGTGTAAGCGTCCCCACCGTGATTGGTTTCAAGCTGCTAATGGGGTCCTTGATCACTGGAGTCAGGAAGAGAGCAGCATTTGGCTCTGGAAGCGGTTTGGACCTGACTCCAGCACTCGACTGGTGAGACCTTGAGACAGGATGGAGCAGGCTCAGAGGAGGAGCAGGCTCAGTCACAGTGTGAGTCCCAGGAGGAAGAGCTGCGGACTGGGGTGGCGGAGAGATGCCACCAAGCCCTGGCCCGTCCCATGGACACCCAAGCGCGTGCAGGTGAGGCGGAAGTGGGTCCATCTTGGGCTGCCAGCTGCCTCCTCTGTCCCCAAGCCCCTAGGCACGCACCAGACACAAGCATGCATGTGCACTGAGAGTGTGCATGGTAGGACAGGGAGACAATTTCTCCCCAGCTGACATACCTGGAACATTTCGTAAATGTTCCATGTTTATGTCTCATGTAAAGCTGTGCTGCAGAGGGTAGGGAATGCCCTGGAATCAGATGGAGGTACCAGTGGTAGGATAATGAGAAACATGTAGATAATGACCAGATGGACGCTCTTGAGCCAGTGCCTATCAATGGCAGGGACCCTGCCCTTGGGCTCCTTCCTCCTCTGCCTCCTGGGGTGACCCCCAGCTGGTCCACAGAGGCTTCAGGGCTCTGCTTCTCCTTAGCCAACAGGGTGAGAATGAGCTCCATGTGTACACGCACCAGGCCCAACCCATGTTCTCACCAAAGCCTCACGTGAAGGGAAGCTGAGGTGATCATTATCCCCTTTGCACAGATGAGAAAACTGAGGCTGGGACAGCCAAAATACTGGTGCACATGGCCTAGCTTTACAGGAGGAAGTGGGAGTTGAGTCTAGCCCCAGGGGACTGCCCGCCATGGTTGTGGGTCATGATGACCCCAGGTACAGAGAGAAGGTCTGACACACAGCAGCCCTTGACATTCTGTCAGAGCATCAGGTACGTGCTGATGAGCTAAGTGCTGATCTTCGAGGGGCCCTCAGTCTGCAGGGGGAGATTTTAGTGAAGTAGGTCATCCTACACTGCAGCATTGTGGTCCCTGAGGGGTAACTTGAATAGTGGCTCTTGAGGTTTACAACCTCAGGGCATGGATAGCTGTTGCCTGTCCCACCTTGCGCTGCTAATTCAGGCGCAGGCCTGAATTTTACTGTCTCTGTGTCTCCAGAGTGGCGCAAGCCCGGCACACACTAAACACCCAGGAAACATGTGCTGTTGCCAGCTTATTCCTTGGCCTATGGATTTTGCATGGGGCTGCAGAGATAGGGAGTGTCATGTAAACACAAGGCATGTTCACAAAAGCGCTCCCTCCTACACTGGGCACATACGTGGACATACACACACACAACAGCACAAGGCCAGGCAGTCAGTGCCACACCGACTACCCTACATCTCCTCCATGGATGTTTAAATTCCGAGGCGGACCCACGGCCCTTCCGGATCCACACGTTCACACAGGTATGCAAGACGCATTCTTAGACTTCCACATGCAGCTACCTGTCTCCATGAACCAGCCCAAGGCAGCCGCAGCTCAGGGTCTGGGTCTTCTCCTCCCCCTGCACATGCACACCTTACAGGTCACCAGCATGGGGCCCAAAGCCTTGCAATGGCTGCATTAAAGGCAGCTCCAAGGTGTAGCCAGACCTCCTTCCTCTCCTACCCGCTCGTTCTCTCCTCCTTCTCCCCCAGGCCACCTGACTGAAGCAACCTTAAAAAAATCCATCTCTGCCTGGCCCCAGGTCCTGCATACCTCCAAACCCCAGACAGAACGCACTCAGAAAATCCTCCGCTTGCCACCAGCCCCAAGGGAGTGGAAATGCCCCTTCCAGGCGGTATTATCCCTCCCATCCATGCTAGACGCGGACTCTGGACCCGACAGGAGGTGAGGTAGGCAATGCTCCAGCGGTTCTGAGAGAAAGCACCAGAGCTCGCCCAGACCCAAAAGTCACCTTGGGAGGGCTGCTCCTGCAGGGGCCCTGACAGTTCCAGCGTGGCTTTGCTCCCATTCCCTCTCCTCGTCCGCTCCCACCTTCCCTGTGGCCCTCTCTTCTTTGCTGTGGTCTTGTTATGACTAGTTCTGTCCTGACCTCGCCCCTCAGTCCTGACCCCACACATCTGAGCTGTGTTGGCAATACCCTCGCAACACTTCACTTGCGTTATTTGATCGTGAAGTACTGTGAGGTAGCACGCCAGTCATCATTGTTCCCATTATACAGATGGAACACTAGCGTCCAGAAAGGAGAGTAACTTCCTTGAGGCCACAGGACTTGCTGGCACAATAAAGTCCAGAAAGGTAAGTAAGGTCCTTGAGGTCACAGTGCCGGCACTTGATGGAGGGGACCTGTTGTTTCTGGAACATCTGACTGAACCAGGCCTGAAGCTGAACTAGGCTTCAGGACACCCTCTCATGACACACACAGCTGAGCTTGAAAATGACAAGAGCAAAGGGCAGAAAAAGACCTAAAACGTTAACAGTGGGTGCTCTGCAGGTTGGGCATGTATGTAAGCATTTTTACTTCCTTTTATTTTCCAAATTTTCTATTACAAGCATGATTGTTACTTATACTGGAACAATTACTTAAAAGGGGGAGGAGACAGATACAGAAGAATAATTTTTTTTTTTTTTTTTGGTCTTTTTGAGACAGGGTCTTGCTCTGCAGTTCAGGTTGGCCTTGAGCGCACTTTGTAGCCCAGGCTGGTCTCGAACTCGAAACGATCCTCCTGCCTCAGCCTCCTGAGTGCTGGGATTACAGGTGTGAGCCACTACACCTGGCCAGAAGAATAAATTTCTAACATTAATAGCTGGGCATGGTGGCTCACGCCTGTAATCCCAGCACTCGGGAGGCTGAGGCAGGAGGATCGTTGCAAGTTCGAGACCAGCCTGGGCTACAGAGTGAGCTCAAGGCCAGCCTGAACCACACAGTGAGACCCTGTCTCAAAAAGATTAAAAAAAAGAACAAACAAACAAAACCCTCAGCTATCTAACGTTAGAACTTTAAGCATTGACAAGAAAGATATTTGGGAAGGGGGTAGGAGAAGAATTCTTGGGTGGATGTCCCCCCATGGTATCCATTCATCAACCCTTCTGTACAAAGGGCCCCTATCTTCTCTTCAGGAGCTCAGGGAAGTTCCAGCTGGAGGCCTTCTCACCTCTGTTTCCTCCCTGCCTGCCTCTTCTTCCTCATCCAGATCATACCTTGAGCTGTGCACGATCAGCTCTCTCTTGCCCCTTGCCTGCCTGATGCCCCTTGCCTGCCTGATGCCCCTCTCCAGCCCTGGACGTAATGACACAACTTTATTTTGTACCAGTGGCTACGTTAACCCACACCGTCCCTGAATTTAGGAGATGTTAGGCACCCTTGCCAAACTGAGATCCTGTCCCTCGTGTCCTGGGACAGAAACTGTTTTCTGTTTTCCTCCCCACCCCGCCCCACCCAGGGACTGAACCCGGAGCCTGGCACATACCAGGCAAGTGCTCTGCCGGGGAGCTACATCCTCTTGGACCGCCCCATCCCCATTTCTTTCGTATCTCACGCTTCCTCCGATAGAAAGCCTGAACTTTAAACCCCAGTAGGTTGATCATTAAACATTTGAACTAATGAGTGAATAGCACTAGACAGTCAGACCGGACTCACTGCTGGCTGGAAATCCCCCTGTAAGGTTCATGAGGGATACAGTGTTGTCCCTTCTCTACTAGGGTAATCGGAACTAGGAGTACTCTGAGTAGTCCAGTTCGGTCGCAGATAGGTAGGTAGGTAGATAGGTCGGTAGGTAGGTAGGTAGGTAGATAGGTAGGTAGGTAGGTAGGTCGGTAGGTAGGTAGCGGTAAGGTAGTGACCTGGAAGAGACATCCCAGCTTCAAAAAACCATCCTTCTCTGAAGTCCAGGTGGCATATATGTCCTGCTTTGCCCCACCACTGGACTCACCATCAATAATCCGCCCACTCCCTCTCCGGTTACCATTTCCAGAGGCGTTAGGGCACAGCGAGACGGCTGGGTAGGCCCCACAGAGCAGCAAACCCACACCTCTGTGGATCCTTGGCTCCTGGGACCCCCAAAGAGGCCTTTCCAGGGGCAAAGCTCCAAGGAAAGACTCTACATGGGTGTTTTACAGCAGAAACGTGCTCCACACAGGGCACAGCTGCTGCTTGCACTCACGAGAAAGGAAGAGAAGGAGGAAGGGAAGGAGGAAGGCAAGAACAACTTTCTTAGAAAATAGAAATAAAAAATAATGCCAGAATTTACTGTAAATAATATTCTGGAGAAC